CCTCCCAGCATCATCTTCTTGCCAAAAAAAATTATTTTTTAAAAAACCTAGCTTTTGGGGCAGCTAGGTGGCACACTGGTTAGAGCACCAGCCCTGAAGTCAGGAGGACCTGAGTTCAAATCTGGCCTCTGACCAAACACTTGACACTTACTAGCTGTGTGACCCTGGGCAAGTCACTTAACCCCAACTGCCTAAAAACAAACAAAAAACCTAACTTCCATTTAGCTTGAGGAAAAGCTTCCTTTGCACAGCAACAAGACTGTCTGACTGAATGTCTATTCCTTTACAACTATAAGAAATACCTTGATGAAACAAGAAAATGAAAGGTAGTGGATCAATTCTTTGATGATGATGATGGCCAAGAACTATTAGTCTCCAACTAACTCAGTGAGCCTGATTTGGAGATTTTACCTTCTCCTACAACTTAAGCCCCATTCTAGATAGGTAAGAAACTAGAGATTTTTTAATCTCTAAGTAGGAATTTGGTGAGGGCTGGACTCTTGGCTGAATAGCTGGATCAGCCAACATACAAATGACCAGAAAATGAAAGTACAGTTTAGTCAACATGAAAGGGTTCTCAGCAGTGTTTAATGTCCCTACCTTGGTAAGCCATTGAATGAAATGGCTCAGCTTGACAACTCATTTTAAAACTTAATCCTTTCTGCTTTAGTTACCTTGTGAGTCGGTTGGTTTGTTAGCTTCTAGTATCAGTAGTTTGTATGTCTTTCAATCCACAATTTGTACCATATTCTTTTTTTATTAATTTATTTTGATTTATCAATAATCACTTCCATATGCTTTTGAGTTTAAAATTTTTCTCCCCCTTCCTCCCCACCACCCTCCCCAATATGGCGCATAATCTGATGTAGGCTATACATTTACATTCATATTAAACATATTTTCACATTGGTGATGTTGTAAGTAAAAATGAAAACCAATAGGAGGAACCATCAGAAAGAGGAAACAAAATTCAACAGAAGAGAAAAAAATAGCAATTCAACTTCCATAGTTCTTTCTTTGGATGTGGATAGCATTTTCCATCACAAGGCCTCTGGAGATGTCTTACATCCTTGTATTGCCAGGAAGGGTTAAGTTTATCAACATTAGTCATCACACAATGTGGCTGTTACTGTGTATAACATTCTCTTGGTTTTGCTCACTTCACTCAGCATCAGACCATACAAGTCTTTCCAGGTTTTTCTGAAGTCAGTCTGTTCATCATTCCTTACAGCACAATAGTATTCCATTACATTCATATACCACAACTTGCTCAGCCATTCCCCAGTTGATGGGCATCCTATCAATTTCTAATTCTTTGCCACCACAAAAAGAGCTGCTATGAATATTTTTGTACATGTGGGTCCTTTTCCCATTTGTATGGTCTCTTTGGGACATAGCCCTAGACGTGCTATCGTCAGAGGGTATGCACATTTTTACAGCCCTTTGGGCATAGTTCCAAATTGCTCTCCATAATGGTTGGATCATTTCACAACCCCACCAACAATGCATTACTGTTCCAATTTTTCCACATACTTTCCTGTTTTGTCATGTTGGTCATTCTGATAGGTGTGATGTTGTACCGTTTTTTGTTTTTTCTAGGCAATTGGGGTTAAGTGACTTGCCCAGGGTCATACAGCTAATTAAGTGTCAAGTGTTTGGTCTGAGGCCGGATTTGAACTCAGGTTCTCCTGACTTCAGGGCTGGTGCTCTATCCACTGCACCACCTAGTTGCCCCTTGTACGATATTGTCCTGATCAGATCTCTGGTCAAGACCATAGATTTGAGGGGTCTCCACGGAGGCTTTGGTACCCAGTTCTGACAAAACCTTCTGCCAAGTAACTAGGCTAAAGTAGATGTCTTAAAAGGACATTGTTCTGTCTTGTTTCCCTGGGCAGGGGTGGTGTGAAGGGGGTGGGTAGGTAATGAAAAGATCTGGGACATTTTTTGTTTAGCTGCTTGGTGTGAGCAAATTACCTGTCAAAGTGTGACTCTAGTATTATATCTGAAAGGCTAATTTTTCTGCCTATTCTACAAGGCTTATATGTTTATCAGAAGCTCTTGAAATTTCCTGGTCCTGTTTGCCAGGTATACCTACTGCTGGTTTGCCATGGTTATAAAGTAAATATGGGACCTGGCTTTGAGTCTAAATTTTCTGGGCCTCCAGGGAGTAAGTCAGTAGCCTCTGCTTGGCTTCTACCTGTTATCTCCCTCCATGACCTTTCTCCCTTTAGGCACATAAGGTGTAGAAAAACTGGTTGGGAACTGAAAACTTCCATAAATTTCGTGATCACCCCAGGCCCCTTGCAAACTTGACTGCATCGATTTTCAATTGTGTTCATACTGTTTGATACTTTGGTGGGAAGTGAGAGAACTCCAGAATAGTCCATGACTCCTTGAAGACATCTGCTTATTTTATATGTAACTGATAAAGTTGTAGAAACTGCAAGGTTTTAAAATATCTAGGTAATTATATCTTACAATGAAAAAAAAAATACAATGCACAAAGCTGCTTGTGAATAAAGTCCAAGCAGAGTCAAAACTGAAAACAATCCCATAAAGTTAACTATTGTGTTGTCTTTCTAGTTGTATGGACGATTGAATACCAGCAAGTTTTTTCTGTCTCTTCCATATTTCACGTGTTGTTGTCTGTATCTGAATTAATCCTTAAATAAGAAGGGGTAGACACTAACGAAGTAAGACTTTGATCACTCAGAACATACACAAGAACATGGAAACTGCTGAGAAAGATTCTCATTCTTGAGATCTGTGTAAAGAGACTAAGTTTAAGACTCTATAGGAGAAATATACGAATAGAATAAAACAATCTTCTGAAAATGAATTTACCAATTATAATGGGAACAAAACTTAATTTGTACTGAACTTCATAGTGAAATTTATTTTGACACAAAAAATGGGCATTTCCATGTACAGGGTGTCCCAAAAGCCTTAGATTTCACTGTACAACTCACCTCTAAATATAAATTAAACTTCCTGTCTTAATGACCTTATCTCCTACATGATAGCAATATTTTGTGCAGGATTAGCCCTACAGTGGAAGGGTATTTTCATTCACTGAATCGCATTCAAGATGATTACCAGAAGTAATTTAAATTAACCCTTCCATAGAAGTGACAGTTCTTAATATCTATTGAGGAATTTTTTTGGCGGGGGAAAAAAAATCAATACTGTATTTTTAGTACAGAGAGTTTCATTTGTACATTTGAGTCACTCTGATTAAGATCAGTCTGATCTGATTGAATTCAGTGTTTGGCAAATTCAAACAAAGCCATTTGATTAATAAGAAAATAGAATGCTCAGTCCAATACAAAGGGAAATGTTTTAATTTGCAAGACAGAAACACTGAGAAAAAGAGAAAGTACAGCTAATGATACCATTTAAACATGTAAAATATGATTTGGAAGTAGTTTAAGTTAAAGATAAAAAAAGCAGTAGTATATTAAAGGGAAAGTGAAATACAGGCATACAAAGAAAAATTTAATGACTTGCAACAGTCAGACTTGCAAGATATTTGCAAGCTACTGAATATTCAGAAAACTGAATGGATAAGACAACATTAGCAACTGAGACAAATAATTACAAAAAATTTGAATCAGCACAATGAAAACTTAAAATTCAATTAAAAGATAACAAGGACTGAAGATGTTCTGGACATTGAAAGAAAACCCTAAGCATAAAAGCCAAAAAAAATGTTTTTAATGTAATTAACTGCAGCAGGCATTAACCAATAACAAGCCCTGTTGTCTTTAATTTCTGATTCCCCAACAGCAGAGGAAGAACAAGTATGATTTTTATAACTGACAGGTTGAGAGCAGGTCATGAATTTTAAGCCCCAAAATAAATTCAAATCAGAAATATGCCTATATATTTTAATGGGCATTCAGTAATCCTTTGAACATGGAATTCAAAAAACTGAGCTTAAGACTAAATGAATTTTCTAAGCTTAAAACATCTGAGTAAGTTTGTCAATACACAATGTGTAAAGCTACCTGCATGTTCTTCCCTTCCTACTACACGCTTCACAGCACTTTAGTTTATTTGATACTGAACTCATTCCAATATTTTTATAATCACTTTGCTTCGCAATAATGAGTAGGCATATTGTGAATACCATGTAGTTCAAACTGGGAATATTTGGAATGTAATCAAAATGTGAACTAGACTACCATACTGTAAATGATGACAATTTGTTCCTTGGAAATCAGAACTCCACTGAATAAACCCTTATGTTTTTCAAAAATTATGTTAGAGTTGTAAATAAATCCCCATACACACCAACTAATGGTTAGTAAATGTTACTAATGGTAATAAATCTCATCTTGCTTTGAGGGAAAGGAATAGTACTGCTGTGTAAAAGCACAATCTCGTGGGGCTAGTTACTGGTTTATGATCTCACTTTTATCCTGGTAAAAGTGTTCATGTTGAAAAAACAGCAACCTACCATGCTAGCGAAAAATGTCAGATACCACCAAGGGTTCTGGAATGGCACATTCATATGAGTTACAGGTGATGACAGACTGCTAGGAAGGTCAGGATGACAGTCCAACAAAGGCAAGGACAGGATCCTCCTGATCCAGTACTTTATTATTTTGCTCTTCCCTGTGAATGGGCTTCCCACCTCTAAGACCTTAAGATTGAGTCCACATCCATGGTGTACAACTGCACTCAAAAATTTACTCCCATACCTTGCTCATTTTCACCATAACATGGTGGCAATAAGCAAAAATGAGACTGACTAGTAAAGAAGATTGATTTGCTCCAAATTTTTCCTGTTGGCTCAACCATATGAGCCACCCTATTTACCTGTAAGAACAAAAAAGAAAGCACACCCCATTCAAGAGGTCAACCACCAACAGGTAAACTGGATTTACGCCACAAAAATTTTAACGGGGAATCAATTATATGCTGATAACTGGTTGATGACACTATCTTGAATTATTTTATGGCCCTAATGAAAGTATATGGAATCAAGTTTCTATGTCTTTTTTTTTTTGACGTGCTTCTAGATTTTGACATTACTACAAAGGCCTATGGGTAGGAAAAATCTTTTGTCATAGGGTTTGACAAACTGTCCTAGTTTCGAGGCTGGTCCTTCTGGGTTTAAGCATCTGGTGTCAGAACCTGATATGTTATATGTATGGTTTGAAAGGATCATGCTTTCTTGTCGTTACTACCGAAGATCCGGGCAGCCAATATCTGGTTTTGCTTGAGGTTGATTCCTCTGTTTTTGTTGCAGTTTTTCTAGACAAGGCTGTGATGTCTGCTGTTCTGATGATTCTAAATCGTTTTCTCCCCAGGGTCCTGGCTGCTGTTTTGTCTTGTTTCTAATTCTTTACAGCAGTTGTGGAGTTTTTTTTCCCCAGGTCTTGGTGGTTGGCTCTCCCTGTCAAGTTTATAGTTGTCTCCAGCTGCTGGTCATTTCTACTTTAGCCACTGACTTACGTATTATAGGAGTATGATCTGGCACAAACTGAGTTGGGGGGGGCAGAGAAGGGGTGGTGGTGCTCTAACGTACCCCTGTAAGGTAGCCTTGCCTCTCCTGAAGGAATTCGGGCTTATTTGTATATCCTTTATTGTTCTACGGTTTGTCAGCTTCAGAAAAGTGGAATTTTTAAGCACAGGATGATTCAAGGGGAGGAAAAGGCAAAAAATAAGTCCCTTGAAAAATAAAAGTGCAAAAAAGAAATAAAAAGTAACCATAAAAGTTATATTTCTGTGGTGTGGCAAAGAGAAAAACTAAAAGCCTGCCCAAAGGAAAACTAGAATGAGTCCAGAAAGTTAACTATTTTTCTATCATTTCAAATGAAAGAGTAAAATTTAGCTTCTTTCTCTGTTAAGTATATATAAACCCATATGTGAGAAAGGATAAAAAATGGAGTCAATTTTAAAAGAAAATGGGAATTTCCCCAATTTGAATAGATTTCTTTCTGTCCTCAGATATGCCCAATCTGGGATCAAGAAAAGGATACAAAAATGACAAGGTGTACCAAACTAAATTTATGTAGGATTTCTAAATGAAGTTTCTCTGGCATTACCAATGAATTTTTAAACTACAAATTGGGAAATCTGAATATTTGCAATAAAAGCTGTTCTTTTAAATTTTCTCTAAAATGAAGACTGTGGGATGAATTCCCTCAAACCCTGTACTGACTTCATTTATCTCCTGTAGACTAAAGATAACTTTTATGTGGGTTTAGCCTTGAAACAGAAAGGGTGTTCTGCCGCTCTTAGAACAAACTGATTTAAAATGATTTATCACTAAATATGGTGCCCATTTTTCCAAGATCATAAAGACAATCTGTCTTGCTCAGCCAGGTGGGAAGAGCACCAGTGCGGATATGAATGTCTTTTCCCCTGCAGCTACAAGAAATAAAGAACACTGTGGCTAGGCAAAGAAAGAGAAAAAAATACTGATGTCAATTCTCAAGCCATACTTGCTGAAAGAATCAGAGGAAACTCTTCTATACCATCTAATCTTGTGGCTCTGTTCATGGCAGAAGTCTATCAGTTTAAGAACTTATACTAAGTTCTCTTTATCATCTATACTACCTACAAAAGCAAATTGCCAAGGTTTTCTATGCATTACACTACAAGGAGGACACTGACTCCAACAGTTTTGATTCACCATGATCACCCCTAACTGATGTCAAGCCAAATGCTGACTGGGAGGGTTGTTTAAGACCAGTGCTGGATAGATTATCCACTGGTGAAGAGGACTTGCCACCTTGGAGCAAAGCCAACTACTATGTCTGTGGGAATGGACTGTTACATGGGTATAGAGAATCCCACACAGAACAGATAGCCCACTGATTAGTTAACAAAATGAGTTCCATGCTATAACAGAACAATGTTATACCTATATCCCTGACTTTCCTGGCAAAGTTACACAGTATTAACTGCATAGTAATGCAATTAATAAGTTTCATAATGATACTCTCCCCTCCCCACCCATGATCTGCTCACAACTGATTCATACTGGGTAGCCCTTAGTATGAAAGGTGGGTCACAAGAAGAATCTCATCTCTTATGTGTCATTATCCTAACTTGCTACTTCTCCCAAGCTTTCTGCCACCACTTAATTCTTCCCAAAGGAAACAGGCCTATCTAATGGACCTTGATCTCTACAATGATCACCAGTACAGAAGTGATGATGGTTGCCTCATCAGACTCACTGACCATGAAGCAAGTCCCAAATTCTAGGATGGTCCTTGTGCTCTAGAAGCACAAAACATGAGTAATTTGGCATCAAGACTTTACGTCTGTTTAAGAGCTTGACATTATTACACAGAGATATTGGTAGGTTAGATGATGCTAACCTGAAGGATTATGGTAAACCGTCTATATCCTGGGGAAGCTTGTTGTTTCTAGGCAAAACAAATGAAAATACCTGCTCGGCTTGCTGTAATCAATTACCCTGCTAATGTTACTTGCTTCCAGAAACTGTTCAGGAACTGTGCTTTTGCCTCAATAAATCAACTTTTTACATCTATCATTTGTCTTCCAACTCTGTATTAACTCAATGATGTCTAAATACCTCCATATATCTTTTTCATCTATACAAAGATTATAAAAATACTGACTTTTGTTTAGGTTTAAGAAGCTTCTTCAAAACACTAAGAATATTTGAATCTCTCCCCTATAGCTATAAGAAATAAAGAAATGCCTTATTTAAGCAAGAAATCTCAGGGTACTGAGCCAGTTCTTCAACACTACCCATGTCTTCTCATACTGTGCAATTCCTATTTAGATCCTTCTGAAAATTCTCCACTGGGGGTCTACCCAATATGCTAGAGACTTCCTCTTGATCCTGGCCAAGTACTTGCTAATTAGGAAAGAAGGACTTGTGGCAGAGACACCATTTCACCAAAGGCTCCAGTCATGCTCACTTTACCCTCAGCTCAATGCACTCTCTGGCCCATTCCATTTCCTTAGCAGTACAGCTATGTCCTGACCACGGATACCCTCTGAATCACATTCGCTCGAAAATTCCTTGAGAATAATCTAGTTCCTTGTTTTGTATGCCAAGTGCATACAAACATACATACAACATACAAACTAAACACTGTTTATGGCACAGAGGAAGCACTTACTAAATTCTTTCTACCTAGCTATCTCTAGACATTGTGTGGATACCAATGAACCAAGCAGGCTACCAATGAATTATTAATCTCTCGTTTCATGATCAGTTCAGCTCCTTTTCTGTTTAATGGCACTGCCACCCACCCTTTATACTTTTTCTTCTTCAATTCTTCGTTAGAGAGGCATTGTGACAAAGTAGGTAGAGTACTGGATCTACAATCAGGAGACTTAGATTAAATCTTACCCTGAATGCTTACCACCTGAGATTGTGTGATTACTCTACCTTTCATGAGCCTCAGGTTCCCTGTTTGTAAAATAGGCACAATAACAGAATCTAGACTTCACAGAATTACTTTAGGGATCCAATGGGAAGAGTATAAGAATACTTTATAAACGTCAGCTTGTGCCTCTACTGCCCTCTGGTTGGCTGACAACTTTAAGTCTTCTTCAACAGACTGCTATTCTGTTACTTACAACTGCATAGCATCAACAATAAAATACTTCTGTTAAAAAAGATGGACTTTTCTTTCAGGAAGAATCCTGAAGTCATTAAAAGCACCACACAATTTTCCTAAAGCAATCTAGTTCATTCTCTGCCTCTTTAGATCTAGTCCCAGATCAGCATTTATCTACAGTTCTGCCCAAGATCTACATAACAATGAACCAGCTCTATGTGCTGTCCACCCATGGCCTGGAAAATAGATATTCTTCAACCATTTGTTTTTTCCCGTTTTGGTAGGCAGGATGAACTCTTTTATGATCAATGGAAACAGGAATATTTGGAGGACTTTACCATCTATGGGGAATCCTTCTTCCATTGGGCCTATATGCTGAATATCATCTAGAACAGTGGCAAACATTGTTGGTAAGCATATATCCTTCCTCTTTTATATTCATAATCAGAAGGTCAGAGATCTCTTGATTTTTCAAGGATTCTTACATAATTTTGACTTGTAAAAAGAAGTGAGTCTTTTAGGCGGTACTTTGCTCCACCAGCAAAAATTTCCTCCTTTTTTAACAAACAGAAAAAAGAATGGTAACGTGTATTCCCTACAACATTAATTAAATTGTAAAAAAGGTAATTTTATTTGTAAAACATGCCAATTCTCTCCTCCTATCTTCATTATGTCCTTAATATAGAAATATAAATGCCTTCAATATATAAATTATTCCCCTAAAGATTTTGCAGAAATAGGAAAGCAGCCATATTGGTTGAATTATTGATACTTTATCACTTTTTGGGGGAGTAGAAATAAGGTCTATTTTGTTTTAAAGGTTTATGTTTCTTGTTTCAGGTCCCTTGAGAATCTCTCAAGTGCCTTAAAAATTATTTTGTTGCCTGCATGGAACTCTTCTAAGTATATTAGGTTTGGTACAGCTGCTCTTCCCATCTCTGTGTTCTTTAGCGCTGTTTCATATCGTGAAATATGTTAATAGAATCTGGGCGAGCAGAGTAGTTATGACAAATTATCAACTGTAAAAAAATAGACAAAAAAAGCTTTTAAAAAAATTTTCCAAACAAGACAGTAACTTCTTTAGAATACAATAAAATTACTTACTCTTTTTAGTAGTTTACTTTGTTGTATCCCTCTTGAGTAACGTTTCATTTAAATTTGGGATAAAGTGCTTTGCTGGATCCTGGTTTAAATGCTATTGGAGTGGCTAATTTTGAATCATACTTTGATAACAGCTAAAATTTTAAAAACAAAACAAAACATTTTTGCTACATTATCTGAAAAAAGTACATTTGGAAGGTAACTAAAAACACTTAGAAAAACATCAACATTCTGTCTTTAGAATATTTTTGGAAAAATCCTAGTGTGTATTATGTGTCTATGTACACAAAGATGCGTAAGTAAATTATGTTTGCAGTATATATGCCCTTTAGAAAAGTTAACAATAATGTGGAGAAAGTAAACATTTTATTTGAGACCTGGAGGTGAGAATGAGGCAAGGCCTGCATTTGTGCGTAGAAAGAAGGATTAGGGATTAAGACTTGTTCTATGTAGCTCTGAAAGCCAGAATGTATAGCAGTTACAAAGTAGAAAATTTCATCTCAATATAAGAAAAGTAGTTTTTAAACATCAGAGCTACCCTAAAATAGAAGGTGAGGTATCGGGTTCACTATGACAAGTCTCCTCTCTATGAAACCTTCTATAACATCCCTATCTGAAAAGCATTCTCTTCCTCTTCAGAACTTGCATACCAACTTTATAAGTATTTTATGCACTTACCATGTTTAAATATGTAAGATATTTGTGTATGCCTTATATCCCTTATTAGACTTTAAGTTCCTACAGGGCAAGAGCTATCTCTCACTGTTATGTCTTCAGTGTCAAGTACAGTAGCACATATCAGTATGTAATACAAGTCTACTGAACTGGTAACTGGTTGAATGTGTGGAACAGAGAGCAAGGGGTAAAAAAAAAATATGTCAAGGTTTATGCCTGTGTAACTAGAATGGCTGGTACCAGTAACAGAAATAAGGAAAAAAAGATTTTGGAGAAGGCTATGAATCTGTTTTTGGACATTATGAACATGGGGTAATAATCAGAGACGTCTAGCAGGCAGTTGTGGAAATGAAGAGATGGAACTCAAATGAGGCCATGGCTGGAGGTTTTCAGGTCACAAGTGGATAAGCTTGCCAAAGGAGAGTACAGCAAACAGAAGAGGGCCAATATTTAAGGATCAGTTGTGTTAGTCAATAAACACTCATCAAGTGCCTACTATGTGCCAGGAATTATGTTAAACATTGGGGATACAAAGAAAGGCAAACAAGTTCTTGTTCTCAAGGAGTTTATAATCTAGTAGGAAATGAAGAAACAACTGACCTGGGTACCTTCTTAAATGGAAGTTCTGGAGGAGGGGTCTCTACCTTTTAATTAAACGGAGGGAATGGCCTCCAGGGACAGAGGTGTAAGTTCCAGGGCTGAAGTGATCTTGGAGAAGTGCAGGAATGTAGCTGGATGGGAAATGTTGGGCAGAAAAACCAAGAACAGTATGTCACAGAAACCAAAGAAGCAAAGTCTACTCAATAGCATGTCATATGCTAGAGAAAGATCAGGGAGAAGAAGAACCTCTGAAAGAGTAATTTCTGTCTTACTTTTCTTTTTTGAGAAAGTAATTCAATAAAATAGTGGATGCAGAAATTGTAAGGAATTTCAAGGAAACTTAAATTTACATTGTAAGGAAGGTTGTAGAGAATGAAGGTGTGACTGGATAATGAAGAAGAAACACTGAAAGCAGATTACTTGTTGCAGTAATGTGGCTTGAAGTGGTAACAGGTTAAAGGAAAAGTGATCAGTGAGATAAGGAACCAGTGAAAAAGAAAAGTGAAGACATATGAGAGGGAAAGGGAATAACTGATTAAGCAAGGATATGGAGGAGTTAGGAAGTAGTATTTTTAAAAAATTCTTTCTGGATTGGTTTTAGATGAAGGTAGAGGGCAGTTCTTAATCTGGGTCTTTGAAATTGTTTGAACAAAACAGAAATATCAAACATAATGCATGTACTTAAGAAAAAAATAACCTGGAAGATATCATCCGGAATTGTAGTTACTTCTGGAGGCGTAGGTGTTCTTAGCAGATTTTCACTGTCAGAAATCTTGGGAGGAGGGACTTCTCTATGATGTTCAAAGTAGTTGGCAGATTGTGAAACCAATGAAGCACAATCATCTGAATCCAAACTGCTTGGCAAAATATTTGAGTCTGATGTTGGTGAAATTATTATCCCCTGTTGTATAAAAGTGACCAATACTTTTATATAATAGTAAAATTTATTTAGCAAACAGAATTAAATCAATCAACAAGTATTTGTTAAGCATCTACTATGTGACAGGTATTGTGCTAGGCACTAGAGAGACAAATACATACATAATTATATGTGTGCACATGTGCATGTATATGGGTATATATTTACACACATGCATATAGCAATATATGAATATAAAAAAGACGAATATAAAGATAATAAATCCAAATAAATCCCAAATGGTTAAATACAAGGTACTTTAAGAGAGAAAGCACAAACAATTCATATTAATCATTATTAGTTAATATGGCATATGCTTCCTCACCAGATTACACAGCAGCACAGCGGACACCCATCACCTTATTTTTTTCTAATTTATAAACTTACTTTTGCTTCATTTTTTAATCCATCCACTTTAAAGTTTGGATGAAATAGTATTTCTTTGTCATTAGTGGAGAGACCAAGCTCTTTAGGTTTAGGGACATTTAAAACTGGATTGCTGTTTCTACATGGGACTTTCAAGCCAGGAGTGAAGAATACAGGCCCCAAAGGGGAATTGGCATGGTTAGCACCTAGAATAGACACATATATAACACAGGAAGAAAGTTACAAAGATTTTAACTTTCAGGTTCCAAGCTTTGACATACTAGCATGGCTAATTAGGAAATGCATTATAAACACCGATTTTTAATCCCTCCCTCACCCCCTTATTTTTGGAAACACTTATAAATGATAAGTTAAATCAGGTAATGAAACTCTGTGAACAGCCGCAGTAAGGCCTAAGTAGGTATTTATGGTTAGAGTAGCTAGGATGAACGATTGCTTTATAAATCAGTCAACTACTTAAATACTTATTTGTAATATATGCCCCAAAATGGTGAATATACAGAAGAAATAAATCTTTTTCTTAATGCAGTTCATAAACTAGAGAAAAAAGGCCAGGCTTAGATTCGGGAACTTCCACTTCCTGGAGCCAAGATGGCGGAGTAAAAAGGTAGTCACTCTCACCCTCCCCTATCAACCTCTGAAAACCCAGAAAATATCACCCCAGAAAAAACCCTGGAACAGCTGAACCAGAAGAAAGACAGGGTGCAGCAGTGCAGTAGCCCAGGTAGCTAGAGGGATTAACGGGAAAGGCCCCTCTTACCCTAGGCGAAGGGAAGCAGTATGAAACAGGAGTCACCCAGCCAGCTAGTAGAAAGACCCACTTTAGCACACCAGGAGGAGATTCTAGTGCCTCGGCATTCTACAGCAAATGGGTCTCCCAGTGCCTCAGCAAAAATAAGGGAAGCAGCACTACTACAAAGGGCCCCAGGCAGATAAGCACCTGGCAGCATTCGTCTGAAAGGAGCTGAAGAAAGCACCCTAGAGGTGCCAAAAAGTTCCAGCCTTGTTGATTCCAGCCCAACACCAGGTATGCTGTCAGAACCCTACAGCCTCCAACTGCCAACCAGGAGGGGATCCCGAAGCCCAGGTGGTCGAGCAGGCAAACGCCAACGGCTGTACCTCCGAGTGCCTCAGTGAGGGTGGGGTAACTGGTGGAAACCAGCTCAGAAAACCACCAGGTGCCTCGGCATTCTACAGCAAAGAAGTCTCCCAGTACCTCAACAGAAATAAGGGAGGCAGCACTGCGAGGGGCCCCAGGCAGATAAACACCTGGCAGCACTTATCTAAAAGGCACTAAGGAAAGGAAAAGCAGGCAACCTAGATTTACCTGAAAGTCCCAACCTTGCTGATTCCAGCCCAATACCAGATAAGCTGCCAGAACCCTACAGCCTCCAATTGCCAACATAAGAGGCCCCAGCACACAAAGCCAGTGACCAAGACCTAGGCTCTCAACACTAGAAGCTTGGGTCAGTGCCCTCTGCTCCCCAGCAGGAGAGCTTAATCTCTTTAAAGGCCAGGGAATAAAGAAACACCATGAGTAAAAAGAAATGTGTGATAGAATCATATTATGAGAAGAGTGAAGATCAAGACAGAAATTCTGAAGAGGACAACACTGTCATCAAACCCACATCTGCAACATCAAAAGGGAATATGAACTGGTCTGAAGCCCAAAAAGCCTTCTAGAAGAACTCAAAAAGGATTTTAAAAGTCAAATGAGAGAGGTACAGGAGTCCTTTAAAAGTACAATTGGCCAACTGGAAAAAAAGTACAATGAAGAAAATAAATCCCTTAAAATACAATTGACCAATTGGAGAACAAAGTACAAAATCTAACAGAAAAAAACAATGTTAAAAATTAGAACTGAACAAATGGAAACTAATGACTCTATGAGAGAGCAAGAATCAGTCAAACGGAAACTAAAAAATTAAAAAATAGATGAAAACGTAAAATACCTCATGGGTAAAACAGCTGACCTGGAAAATCGATCCAGAAGAGATAATTTAAAAATTACAGGCCTACCTGAAAGTCATGATGAAAAAAAGAGCCTAGACAACATCCTTCAGGAAATCATAAAGGAAAACTGCCCTGAAGTCCTATAACCTGAAGGTAAAATAACCAGAAAGAATCCATCACTCCCCGCCTGAAAGAGATCCCAAATTGAAAATGCCAAGGAATATAATCGCTAAATTCCAAAATTACCAGATTAAAAAGAAATTACTGCAAGCAGCCAGAAAGAAACAATTTAAATATCATGGAACCACAGTCAGGATTACCTTGCAGCCTCTACATTAAAAGACCATAGGGCATGGAACATGATATTCCGTAAGCAAAGGAATCCAGCCAAGGATTAACTACCCAGCGAAAATGAGCGTGATTTTTCAGGGAAGGAGATGGATATTCAACGAAATAGGGAACTTCCAAATGTTCCTGATAAAAAGATCAGAGCTCAACCAAAAATTTGATCTTCAACTACAAGATTCAAGAGAGACATAAAAAGGTAAATGGGACAGAAAGATACAATGTGTTGTTAATAAGGGCAAAATGTTTACATCCCTACAAGGGAAGATGACACTTGCAACTCTTGGGAACTGTATTGTTATTATTCCATGTTAAAGGAGTATACATAAAGGGAGTGGATATAAGTTGACTTCGATGTAATGACAAAAAAAAATTTAATCAAGTGGGTTAAACGGATCTGAGTAAGTGGATTAGTCTGAGCTAAGAAAATGTACTGAGAAAGGAGGAGGCAGACAAGGGTAAATTACATTACAGGAAAAGACACAAAAACCTATTAGAGCAGAGGTATAGAAGGGAGGGGGATTAGCATTGTTTGAACCTTACTCTCATCAGATTTGGCTCAAGAAGGGAATAACATAATCAGTTAGGTATAGAAATCTAACTTGCACTATAGGTAGTAGGAAGGGAAAGGGGAAGAAAAGGAAGGGGGGAAAGAAAAGGGAGGGGTGATAGAAGGGAGGGAAGAAGCAGTAAGGGTAAAGGGGAAGAAAAGGGAAAGGGATAATAGAAGGGAGGTGGGACCGTAGCAGGCACTGGTCAAAAGCGAAATACTAGTGAGGGGGGGAAAGGAGAAAGGAGAAAGAAAAGCATAAACAGGGGGGAAAAAAAGGATGGAGAAAAAGACACAGATAGTAATCATAACTGTAAATGTGAATGGGATGAACTCTCCCATAAAACAGAAGTATATAGCAGATTGGATTAAAAACCACAATACTACAATATGTTGTTTACAGGAAACATACTTGAAAAAGAGTGACACATACAGGGTAAAGGTAAAAGGCTGGAGCAAAATATATTATGCTTCAGCTGAAGTAAAAAAAGCAGGGGTAGCAATCCTAATTTCAGACAAAGCAAAAGCAAAAATAGATCTTATCAAAAGAGATAAGGAAGGAAACTACATCTTGCTAAAAGGCACCATAGACAATGAAGTAATATCATCACTAACCATATATGCACCAAATGGTATAGCATCCAGATTCTTAGAGAAGTTCAGGGAGTTACAGGAAGAAATAAGACAGCAAAACTATACTAGTGGGGGACCTCAACCTCCCCTTCTCTGAACTAGATAAATCTAACCACAAAATAAACAAGAAAGAAGTTAAGGAGGTGAATATAACATTAGAAAAGTTAGGTATGATAGACCTGTGGAGAAAACTGAATGGGGATAGAAAGGAATATACTTTTTTCTCAGCGGTACATGGCACATACACAAAAATTGACCATGTACTAGGGCATAAAAATCCAATCCAATGCAGAAAGGCAGAAATATTAAATGCATCCTTTTCAGATCATGATGCAATAAAAATTATATGTAATAAAGGACCATGGAAAGATAGACTAAAAAATAATTGGAAACTAAATAATCTAATCCTAAAAAATGATTGGGCCAGAGACAAATCAAAGTCTTCTTATACTTCTTTATATCCCCTACAATATTTTATACAGAGTAGGTATTCTGGGTAACTCTATGTGCTGTAGTGTAGGGCTGGCCTTAAGATTCAGAAGGACATAGGTTCAAGTCCTGTTTAACACATACCATGTTCTATAATCAGACAAATCATTTTAATAGCTCAGTGATTCTGGAAACTACCCATCGGACACTATAAACTGAAAGAATTTTTTATCTTTATTAGCAGACCATTTCCATGATGGGATTTCCCTATAATAATGAAACCACAGGCCCAGTTTTGCCCCCATTTACATAATAAAATAGGCTCAAGAAATATTTTTAATTGGAGAACACTAAAAACATATAATCATGTGTTAAGTGGTATGCTAATACTATAAGACAAAATCTTCCTACTTACAGTACTTGGAAAAAGTGCTGTTAAGTCAAAATGACATACACTGAATCCAAGAACTGTTATAATATGGTGGTGTATCCCTAACTAAGTATCTGATGATGGTCAACTTTCTATAAAATTGACCACAAATATACTTCATTTAGTCAAATAACAAGACAGTTAGGCTTTTTACTAGTAGTAGAATCCCTGGAGACTGACTCTAGGATTCGATTTTTTTATTGGAAAGAAAAAAAGGATTAGGGCTAGTGGAAAATGAAGTCTCCTAATACAAAGACAACACTAAGTTTCTCAGGGCAATAAAATACTGTGCCTACAGAAATGAACTAGGAGAAAATCTGGTGAGGCTTTTTCTGTAGATGGGGAAAAAAGCAGGCAAAGGGTCAATACATTTAACAGAAAATAATCCCAGCTTTTTATGTACAATTACAGAATGATGCCCTCCAGTTTATCAGTTAATTTACAAGTGGGTGCAGACAGTTCCCTGCTCCCATCAGAAAAGCCCAGAAAATGATAGCCATAACTAATTAGGAAGAAAGGGAATTGGAAACTTTTTTCCATTTTGGGCCCTGCCCCATAGATGGGAAAAATGTTCCGTTAATGTGTCCTATCTTTATAAGAAATGGCCCAAGGCCAGAGCACAGAGACCTCCGAAAGGAAGGTGAATGAGGAAAGGTAGAGCTAAGTGATAGAAGGCCAAAGAAAAAAAAAGCCTTTTCTTTTTTCTGAGAAAGAAGGGGGGAGATTTCTCTGTGTCTCATGGCAGCTCCAAGGTGAGGGAGGCACATATCAGAAGCTCACAAACTGGACTTAAAAAAGAAGCAACTATAGGAGAAAGGTGATTACTTTAAGGTCTTAGGCCCTTCTCCCTAGAGTTGAGGGTTAGGGGAAAACAGATATAGGAAGGCTGACACACTAGTCACCTTGTCAACTAACAATAAAGAACAGCAATGGAAAAAAAAAACAAAAACAAGTAAAATAAGGTCATGCAGAACACAGATTCATTAAGACCATTGTAACCTTGTAAATTTAACCCTCATCTTGTTTTTTTTATTCATCCCCTCTATTATTTCCCCATACTGTATGCTTATTTTTAAGCATTTATGATGTTTAAACTTTTCCTAAAAAAGGTGTATACTATCTCTAAGAGCTGGAGAGGCAGTTACCAAAGTCCACAAAGAACCTTTTTCCTATGCTATCTTGAAAGGGCCGCAGCTTAAGAAACTAATAAGGTGGTAGAACTATAAAAAAAACCAAAACAAACAAACAAACAAAAAAAAAAAAACCAGAACAAACCAGTATGTATTAGGAAACAGTGGCAAATAAAAAGGTTAAATCACTTGACCAGAGTCACATGACTACTTACTTGCTACTAAGTAACTTACTAGTAATACCTGAAGGATTAAAATCTAGGACTGGACTTCCTGACTCCAAGTCCAGCATTCTACATACTATGATAAATCTGAATGCCTTTCAAAAAATACTTTGCAAAGGTGGCAGATGAGAAGAATTTGATCCAAATCTGTACTTACAATTTTCTTTCAACTGCTCAAGTATGGAGCCAGAAGGAATTAGGGTGTTGTTGTTGCCTCCTAATTTTGCTTCTATGTTTATTTCATGAGTAATATTCTTAGAAGAACTAAGAGAAGGGAAAAAAGTTTATGTGACTTATTAGTAATCAAATTTAACCATAACACCTATCATAGAAATCCTGTACATTAATTGCCTATAAAGCAAATTATTTCCCATTGTGTTTTTACATTATTAATACATTCTTATCTCTCCCTCCTCCGCTAGCCTTCTGTAACAATGATTAAAAAAGGGAAAAAACCAATTAATACATTCACTGTCTGACAATAAATTCAATATTCCACAAACTCTAGTTCTTGACCCCATCAATGAAAGGAGAGAGGTGCATTTTCGCAACTTTTCTCTGGGGCCTTGCTTGTTCATTATTACTACACAGTTTTAGTTCAATTTTATTATTCTCTTTATATTATTGTAGTCATTGTGTGTATTCTTTCTCCTGGGTTCACTTCATTTACTCTGCATCAGTTCATGAACATCTTCCATTACATTATTATCATGTAACAATTAAAAGTAATTCCCCTAATTCTGTTTCCAGGTCTTTCCTACCATAGTGTGGCAATATCTACTTGGGCATAAAGGGGACCTTTCTGTCTTGGACTTCCTTACGTTATATGCTCTGAATATATACAATGAGAACACTGAGTCAAAGGGTATAGATTTTGTCAAGCATTGTTCTAAATTACGTTCCAGAATAGTCGTACTGATTCACAGATCACGCAGTGTATTTATTAATGGGTCTGTCTTATTGCAGCCCTTTTAACATCTAAACTATTTGTGTTGTTTATTATTTTTGACATTTTGTTGGGCGTATAAGGTGAAATCCAAGAGTTATTTTGAGTTTCTCTGGTTGTTTAAAGCAATCTTATGTGGTAAATGGTTTGCAATTCCTTCTTTTTTAAATAATATTTCCCCCCCAATTACATATAAAAACAATTAACACTGGAGTTTTTAAGTTTTGAGTCCCAAATTTCATCCTTCCCTTCCTCCCTCGAGAAGGTAAGCAATCTGATATATTATATATGTGCAATCATGTAAAACATAATTCCATATTAATCATCTTGTGGAAGAAAACTTGAACCAAAAAAAGAAATGAAAGAAAGAAAGTGAAAAATAACATTCTTTGGTGTGTATTCAGACACCATCAATTCTTTATCTGGAAGCGGATAGCACTTTTCGTCATGAGTCTTCTGGGACTATCTTGGATCACTGTATTGCTGAGAATAGCGAAATCATTCAGCTGTTCTCTGTACAATATTGCTACTACTGTGTACGACTTTCTCTTGACTTTGCTCACTTCACTCTGTGTCAGTTCACATGTCTTTCCAGGTTTATCTGAATCATCCTGTCCATCATTCCTTACAGCACAGTAACATTCCATCACAATCATATACAACTTGTTCAGTCATTTCCCAGTGAGGGATATCTCCTCACTTTCCAATTCCTGGCCACCACAAAAAGAGCCACTATAAATATTTTTGTACAAATAGGCCCCTTTCCCCCTTTCTTGATCTCTTTGGGATACAGACCTCGTAGTGGTATTGCTGGATCCAAGGATATGCACAGTTTTATAGCCCTTTTAGGCACAGCTCAAAACTGCTCTCCAGAATGGTTGAATTTGTTCACAATTCCACCAACAGTAGCTGCCAATTCTTTTGAGAATTGTTTTTTCATATCCGTGGACCATGTATCTCTTGGAGAATGAATATCATCTGGCCACATATATAATTATGTTCATTTTTTATGTATCTTAAATATCAGAACCTTTCAAGAGATATTTAATGAAAAGGTTTTTTTTCTTCAATTGAGATCTTATCTTCATATCCTAGTTGAACTGACTGTGCAAAATCTTTCCAATATCATTTAATCAAAACCATCTATATGATCTTCTGTTAATATTTTCCCTATCCATTTCCATAAAAAAAAAAATCAAACCCCTCATCTATCCTTTCAATTTTTTGGTTACCTTTCATACTACAGTAAGTGTCAAGTTAGAACACTGTAGTACAGGCTTTAAGTTGATGGTCTGAACTATTTTTGGCTAAACTATTTTCAACTTTTCCCAAAAGTTCTTCCTCAAGTAGCTAATGTTCTCAGGTTTCATGAAAGACTAGATTATTAAGCAAGAAGCAGAAACAAACTCACGGAAATCTATTATGCTAATAAACTTTTCTATTATTATTTTGCTTATTATTACTTTTTAATTCCTCCAGTTATTGTAATTCATTCTTTATTCCTTTCAAGTACTCTTAAGTATGTCATGGTAGACTGACTCCCAGGTATTCTAAATGGAATTAAGACTTTTTATTATTTCTTCTAAAAATTGTTATTACTACATAGAAATGTTGATTCATACATTCTTTTTCTATCCTCCCAGTTTTGACACTGTCCCAACTACTTTACTGATTCTTTGGGGATTTCAAAATAAACGATCATGTCATCTGCAAAAAGGGATACTGGTCTCTCCTCTTTGTCAATTTTATGCCTTTAATTTTTTTTTGTCTTCTTGCTATCACTAACATTATTAGAATTATGTCAACTAGTAGGAGGAAAAGAGAGCACCCTTGTTTAATTTCTGTTATTTCCTGTGAAAATTTCTAGTATGCTACTATTGCAAATAATGCTACCCTTTGGTTTAGACATAAACTTATAATAAAAAATGGTCCTTTTATACACCCATTTTTGGGGGGATTGTAGGATAAATAATGTGATTTGCCAATGACTTTTTCCCCCTATTGATGTACCCATGTAGTAACTTTTAAAAAATGTAATTATGTTGTTTTCTCAATATAGAACATTGTGTCCCTGGTACAAATAGAACTTTATCACAATGAGTAATTTTTTGGATATGCTACTCAAATTGTTTATCATCTGTATTTTACATTGTTAATATGAGTATATCACACATTTCCTTAACCATATCTGTTTTTTATTCTGTTTGGAAGGTTCTTTAGTTTCTCCCTATTTTCCTAGCTTTAACTGTCAATCCTGTTCTGATCTTCTTTTCCTACTCAAGTCTTAACTCTATGGTCAGTCATTTTAATGTTTCTTAAACCACCCTTGAATTCTTTGCCTTGATAACTCTTAACTGATTCATCTGCAACTACTTATGAGACATTGAATAATGTACCATGAGAATATACTGTTAAGGACAGTAAACAGGATGAGGTTGGGGGAGACAGCATGTAAGGACGGTGTGATGAATGGTCCACAAATTTATGTTACCTAACTCAAATGGACTTACATAGCTGCATAATAATCATCTTATTCAACTCTTGGTGATTTCCTATCACATTTTCTACAACAGTCTTTTCAATTTCTCTTCTGCAACCCCCCAAATACACTCTTCTTTTAATACATAACCCTACAATACTGAGAAAGCTGGGGTCACGGAGAGGATTCTGGGAAGATGGGGGAGTAGGTCAGAAAATTCCAAGCTTTCAAGATTTTCCTCCACGAGAGATAAAACAGGACAAACATAGAGTGCTAGAAATAAATAACGAGAAGGGGCAGAACAGTGGTGCTCCTGTGATAATCAGAGAAGATCTGAAGAAAAATCTCTGGATGAGGTTTGGTCTCCGTGCAGAGTAAACACCTCCAGGCTTGGGAATGCTTAACCAGCAAGAAGCAAGCCCTGGTTAGTGGGGCTGGGAAGCTGCCTCAGCCCCACCCCCAGGAACTTTTACTCCTCAGACAATGAGGGGAGTTGGGTGTCTGAGGCCGGGAAAATCAAGGGAACTTTTGCTGATAAGGAATGCCAGACCCACCTGTACTGTGGAGAGATGCTGAAGGACCAGAAGGAACCAGCACACACCCACTGGTGAGTGCAGAAGCAGTGGAGCAGGGATGCCCCTGACTGTGGGCACTTACAGGAGGCTGGAGGTCTTGGTTTGGGATCAAGGTCAGAGAGAAGAACTTAAAGAGCATCTGAGGCCAGAGGTACCATCCCCTATATCCCAGGACTAGAGGGAATTACAAACACTTAACTTATTAAAAGAAAAAAAAAAAAGGACAGGCAAAGGAGAAAGAATCCAACCATAGAGAGCTACTATGGGAATACAGTTCATCTTCAGAGGAAGATAGTGAAGCAAAGAAACCCTCTTCTACCCCAAAGAGTAATGCCAAATGGTCACCTGCCCAAAAAGAATTCATAGAAGAACTTTAAAAAGACTTTAAAAATCAAATGACAGAGTCTGAGGAAAAACTTAAAAAAAAAAAGACAATCCAAGAAAAACAAGAAGATTATCAAAAGAAAGTCATTTAATAAGAATGGGAGATCCAGGATCTTAGGGAAAAAAATGACTCCTTGAAAATCAGAATTGTGAAGGGCAGCTAGGTGACGCAGTGGATAGAGCAGCGGCCTTGGACTCAAAAGGACCTGAGTTCAAATATGGCCTCAGACACAAAGCACTCACTAGCTGTGTGACCCTGGGCAAGTCACTTAACCCCATGCCCAGCCCCCCCCCCCCCAAAAAAAAAATGATGCTTAGGGGCAGCTAGGTGGCCCAATGGATAGAGCACCGGCCCTGAAGTCAGGAGGACCTGAGTTCAAATCCGGCCTCAGACCAAACACTTGACACTTACTAGCTGTGTGACCCTGGGCAAGTCACTTAACCCCAATTGCCTAAAACAAACAAACAAAAAAAAAAAGAAAATTAGAATTGTGCAAGGGGAAGCCAGCAAAGTCATGAGACCAAGAAATAAGAAAACAAAATATAAAGAATGAAAAAATAGAAGAGAATGTGAAACACCTCATAAGAAAAACTGATCTGGAGAAGAGATCAAGAAGAGAAAACATAAGAATAATTGGACAACGTGAAAGCCATGATCAAAAAAAGAAACTTGATACAATAATACAAGAAATAAAGAAAATCGTCCTCAAGCATTAGAACAAGAAGGTAAAGTAGAAATAGAAAAAATCCACCAATCACCACCTGAGAGAGATTTTACAAGGAAAACCCACAGGAATATTAGAGTCAAATTCTGAAACCCCCAGCTCAAGGATAAAATATTACAAGCAACAAGAAAAAAGTTTACATATGACGATGCTAC